TTTAAAATTAGAATACTTTTAATACTACTTATATATATAATATATATATATATATATATATATATATATATTATATATATTTTAAAATTAGAATACTTTTAATACTCTATTTAAAATGTCATCTTCGAGGAACTCAAGGTCATTTAATTTTTTAGGCCATTTGATTCTTTTCAACCTTTAAGTAATCTTTCAAATTTATTACTTTTCTATAAACAATCTCATACAATTTATGACCTCCTTTCATTTTGGCAACAAATTAAACATCAACAGATGCCCTCAATTTAAAAGAAAACCAAAATAATATTCGATTAGATACTTGTTTCTCATTCCTCCCATTTCTTCAAGATACTTCCTTACACAGTTGAGACTGCCGAAAATAAGTCATCCAACAAAGTCTACAACTCTTCCCTCATTTAAAAGACCAACCCTGATTGATTTAAACATGATATCAAGACCAATTCACTTATCATCTCAAAATTAAGAAATTACAGCTTAGGAAAACCATTATTTACAAATAATAAAAATACAAAACAAAAAAAAAATCATAGATCCAAAATTAGTAAACAAAGAAAGCTAACAATTGTTCAGCAATAACATCACATAAATTTATAACACAAAATACAAACAAAACAGCCAATAACTTTCTTCCAAAAGCGTGCTAATCAGCATCATCATCATGGATGCAAAAATCTTCAGGTACCCTGTGTATCCTGAAAATCACTTTAGTCGTGTTGATTGGCAACATTAATCAGATGATCTTCCCATCTACTTTCAGCCAACATAAAACTTTATGTCACTTGTTCACCACACTGACCTGGAAACATTAGAATCATATAAACCCATGAAGAAAAAATGATTCAGAAAAAAATAAGTGAAAGTGAATTGAAATGGAGCAATGGAATGAAACAAACGTCACTAACCCTTTGTAACTTGTTAACCTTCAAACACCCAAACAACTTCACTTATCTATCGAGAATATTACAATATACATACTCTACTGATTTCAACCCTAAAACAGATCTGAAAAAAGAACATGGAGTTGAGATTGCTTATAAAAACATTTACCTTATAATGCCTAAACAAAAACCCTACGTTCATGATTCTTAAACAACAAACACTTCTTCACCCTTGAAAACCGAAAAACACTTCTCTGACCCTTGGAAATTGACAAAAAAAAAACATCAGGTAGAGTGGGACACCCTGAATCGACATCAAAGATTTTACAATGGGTTAGCTGCATCATCTTGATTCTTGACATATAGATTCACGTAGGCATTTCAGCAAACACCTGGTGTGCTAGAATAAAAAAAATACACATGAGCTAGGTCTTTTCCCTTAAACGCACAAAAATTAAAAACAAACACCCATACCCATAAAACAAAGAATTATACAAATTAAAAAAAAAAATTACCTACTTTTACTGCATCAATGGTTGTTCCTCCTCCTTCTACAACTTACTCGTAATTCATTCGTTGACCAAAATGGCCATGCCTAAGTTGTGCAAACCGTACCTGTAAATCCAAATAAAACCTAAATCAAATAGAGATAAAACTGATGTTTCTGGTGTCCAGATTTAGATCCAAATCCATGACATTGATACACATACATAGTTAAAAACAGATGTGTAGATAGTGAAGGTTCAGAGAGAGAGAGAGAGAGAGAGAGAGAGAGAGAGAGAGAGAGAGAGAGAGAGACCTTGGTGGTACTCATTTTTGATTTTTCAGATTGAAGATGTTTTGGGGTTTACAGATCGATAAAGGTATCGTTTGAGGGAAAATCTTCTTCCTAGAACTTCTCACCAAATTCAAAATCACCCAATCTGGCCTCTGCTTAAACTTTCTATCTTTTTTCTCCTTCCGTGTTTGATCCCCCTTGTTGCGTATGTGTTTGTACAGACATTCCATAGGAGTATCTCTTAGATGCGGTTATTGGTGCTGAGATTAGGGTTTGGGAGAGAAAAGAAAGGTTTAAAATCAACTAACAAAGTAACCGAAAAAAACTAAAATCAAAAGAGTTGATCTATACCTCTATCTTCATCTTCCATCTCACGCTAACCAGTTTAAGATCTGTTTCTTCCTCAAAAACTCATCTGCTGCTACAACAAAAACTCAACATCGAAGAATTAACTAAATATACAAGATTGAAATTTTAACAACAAATAGATCACGAAGATTTGGAGAGCATCTGAAGGTGAAAGATCTGAAAGTTCATGGGGGTGTGATGCCTTTCGCTAACATCTCGAGGTGAGTTTCTTGAGAACGATGAAAGTTTCTTATTAGGGGAAGAATTAGTGTTGAATGAAGAGAGACTGAGAGACGCCTTTTGGGTTCATTGTGATTTCAAAAAAATTTGAATTGACCGCCTAATTAGAGCCATGAGGTCGATCCGTGTGAGTGTGTGGGATGTAATTTAGACCATTGGATTATAATGGAGGGTCAAGATCTTATCCCCTTGTTTTTTAAGACATTGTCTTAAAAATGGTGGGACCCTCAACTATATACCCTTTATAAAATGGTACATATATATATATAATATATATATATATATATATATATAATATATATATATATATATATATTATATATATATATATATATATATATATATATGTGTGTGTGTTATCATTGATATTTGTATGTTGTTAAATAATAAATAAATTTTATTTTGTGATAAAATATAATTTTTCTAGAATCAAAGAAAAAAACCAATTACTAAAACATTTGTTAAGGATGAAAGATGAAAAATTAAATTAATCTCCATTTAATCATTTATCGATCTAATAAGTTGTACAAAGCTATCAGTGTGTAAGTGTTTTTTTGGCAACTCCGTTACTTGATAGTCCGACACAGCCGCAAATATGTTTCACACATATCGGAAGAGACCCTGGAAAATTTTCACAAAATTTTTTGCAGTCCGCAATAGTTTCACAATCGTACGGGCCAAGTGAAATATTTGTAGGTGGTTGTAATTCCATTGCACCTGTCAAAATTATAATCAATATAAAACCTGTGTTACCTCTAATGGGATTAACAGTAAAATTTAAAACACAACCTTTTGCTTTCATAAATAAAAAGATTAGCAATGGCGTCGTAAAAAGAATCTATAGATGGGTGTGAAATTTCAAAATGACTTGTTCAAATCTATTTGTTTGGAAAATATTATTTTATATATGATTTTATACTGAATATTTAAATAATATTACTTAGTATACGAATTTAAGAGTACTACAACTGCTAGCTTTTTTTTTGCTCCGCCACCGGAAACTGTGATGTCAAGATAGAAACATAAGTATTAGATTCCATATTTACATAATAAATGTTGAAATCATTTTTCTTTGGAATATACTAATTTTTGACATCTTAAACCAATAACCGGTGATATACGATGTGGTTAATTTATTATTTAAATTTTAACGAAATGATTAAAAACTCAATAACATTTACCTGAGATGAATAATGAAAGAATAATTGCCCATATTATTGTGAATGAAATCCTCTTCATTTTTCAAAGGTAGGTTTCTTGTGTTTTATTCTTATATGTAGGAGTCCATAATGGATGTATAACGATGACTTTAATGATATCTAATTAACATTTGAAGATTGAATAATTAATATAAATGTTATATTTTACCATTTTATATAAAATTCTATATTTGTATAATTCATTCTCTTTATAACATAGTAAGTGAATAACATAGTAAGTGATTAGGTTGACCAAAATAGAAATAATTTTAGCGATAATTCTTTTTAAAACATAATCAAATATTAAAATAACTATTATTTTTTTTAAAAGTATTTAGAAATTGCAACCATTTTGGCAATTGCAATAATTAGAAATTAAACAAAAAATGTTATTCAGATTAAAGAAATAAAATTAATTTAAAGAAAACGAACTATTAAAAAATATAGATTACAAGCATTTAATTTATATATATATTCTTTAAAAGTTAGGTTTGAAAAATATGATATTTTAAAGTTTATAAATGATAGATATAATATTTAGAAATTAGGTCGACGATATTTTGATGTTTAATAAAAAATATATGAAATTCTTCCAAAAACTTTGTGTTATGTTAGACTATTATGGAATAAAAACAAAATAAAATAAAATAAATCATATGTAATTACATTTATAAATATGTAGTGATTACATTTATAAATATGTAGGTAGTTGAGATTTCTTACCTCTAAAACAATTATCCTAATGCTAGGTTGTAATGCCTAAGTTGTTGGATTCCGTTTTAACAAATTTGATATCCGTTACTAGTTTCCATAATATTACTACTATAATCGCAACTTATTTTACATGATTCCGCATATGTTTGAAATTATGGCTTCAATGCTCAATTATGGCTTCAAAACTTAATTCTAAACGTTATGATGTAAAACTTTGTCTTGGTGTTTAGCTCCTTGCTAGGGTTCTTTTAGTGTTTTTTTATATAATTCAAAAACAAAACATATTTTGCATGATTGTTTGAACTTGGTATGTCTATTTTCTCATCCCAAAATATAAACAAATTAGTTTGAAACCTTTAAATAAGTATTGTCGATCCGTTGATAAAAAAATAAAACTGAATATCACTAATCTTCGACATCTTTTAGGTTATTTGAAACATATTTAAGTAATTGATCTCTTGTAATAGTTTTACATTCTGAAATTGTTTTGTTATATTCAAACTCAAGTAATTGATCTCTTGCAAGAACAAGAGCGGGTGTCTTCATTAACCAAATCATATTGGCAGAATGGCAGCTATTTAGAGTAGTAAAAGTATTCTAATTTTAAAATATTATTATAATATATATATATATATATATATATATATATATATATATATATATATGTGTGTGTGTGTGTGTGTGTGTGTTATCATTGATATTTGTATGTTGTTAAATAATAAATAAATTTTATTTTGTGATAAAATATAATTTTGCTAGCATCAAAGAAAAAAACCAATTACTAAAACATTTGTTAAGGATGAAAGTTGAAAAATTAAATCAATCTCCATTTAATCATTTATCGATCTAATAAGTTGTACAAAGCTATCAGTGTGTGAGTGTTTTTTTGGCAACTCCGTTACTTGATAGTCCGACACAGCCGCAAATATGTTTCACACATATTGGAAGCGACCCTGGAAAATTTTCACAAAATTTTTTGCAGTCTGCAATTGTTTCACAATCGTACGGGCCAAGTGAAATATTTGTAGGTGGTTGTGATTCCATTGCACCTGTCAAAATTATAATCAATATAAAACTTGTGTTACCTCTAATGGGATTAACAGTAAAATTTAAAACACAACCTCTTGCTTTCATAAATAAAAAGATTAGCAATGACGTTGTAAAAAGAATCTATAGATGGGTGTGAAATTTCAAAATGACTTGTTCAAATCTATTTTTTTTGGAAAATTTTATTTTATATATGATTTTATACTGAATATTTAAATAATATTACTTAGTATAAGAATTTAAGAGTACTACACCTGCTAACTTTTTTTTTGCTCCGCCACCGGAAACTGTGATGTCAAGATAGAAACATAAGTATTAGATTCCATATTTACATAATAAACGTTGAAATCATTTTTCTTTGGAATATACTAATTTTTGACATCTTAAACCAATAACTGGTGATATACGATGTGGTTAATTTATTGTTTAAATTTTAACGAAATGATTAAAAACTCAATAACATTTACCTGAGATGAATAATAAAAGAATAATTGCCCATATTATTGTGAATGAAATCCTCTTCATTTTTCAAAGGTAGGTTTCTTATGGTTTATTCTTATATGTAGGAAGTTATATATAGGAGTCCATAATGGATGTATAACGATCACTTTAATGATATCTAATTAACATTTGAAGATTGAATAATTAATATAAATGTTATATTTTTCCATTTTATATAAAATTCTATATTTGTATAATTCATTCTCTTTATAACATAGTAAGTGATTAAGTTTGACCAAAATAGAAATAATTTTAGCAATAATTCTTTTTAAAACATAATCAAATATTAAAATAACTATTATTTTTTTTAAAGTATTTAGAATTTGCAACCATTTTGGCAATTGCAATAATTAGAAATTAAAACAAAATGTTATTCAGATTAAAGAAATAAAATTAATTTAAAGAAAACGAACTATTAAAAAATACAGATTACAAGCATTTAATTTTTATATATATTCTTTAAAAGTTAGGTTTGAAAAATATGATATTTTAAAGTTTATAAATGATAGATATAATATTTAGAAATTAGGTCGAAGATATTTTGATGTTTAATAAAAAAATATATGAAATTCTTCCAAAAACTTTGTGTTCTGTTAGACTATTATGGAATAAAATAAAATAAAATAAAATAAATCATATGTGATTACATTTATAAATATGTAGTGATTACATTTATAAATATGTAGGTAGTTGGGATTTCTTACCTCTAAAACAATTATCCTAATGCTAGGTTGTAATGCCTAAGTTGTTGGATTCCGTTTTAACAAATTTGATATCCGTTACCAGTTTCCATAATATTACTACTATAATCGCAACTTATTTTACATGATTCCGCATATGTTTGAATTTATGGCTTCAATGCTCAATTATGGCTTCAAAACTTAATTCTAAACGTTCTGATGTAAAATTTGTCTTGGTGTTTAGCTCCTTGCTAGGGTTCTTTGAGTGTTTTTTTATATAATTCAAAAACAAAACATATTTTACATGATTGTTTGAACTGGGTATGTCTATTTTCTCATCCCAAAATACAAAAAAATTAGTTTGAAACCTTTAAATAAGTATTGTCGATCCGTTGATAAAAAAAATAAAACTGAATATCACTAATCTTCGACATCTTTTAGGTTATTTGAAACATATTCAAGTAATTGATCTCTTGTAATAGTTTTACATTCTGAAATTGTTTTGTTATATTCAAACTCAAGTAATTGATCTCTTGCAAGAACAAGAGCGGGTGTCTTCATTAACCAAATCATATTGACAGAATGGCAGCTATTTAGAGTATTAAAAGTATTCTAATTTTAAAATATTATTATAATATATATATATATATATATATATATATATATATATATATGTGTGTGTGTGTGTGTGTGTGTGTGTGTGTGAGTGTGTGTGTGTGTTATCATTGATATTTGTATGTTGTTAAATAATAAATAAATTTTATTTTGTGATAAAATATAATTTTGCTAGCATCAAAGAAAAAAACCAATTACTAAAACATTTGTTAAGGATGAAAGATGAAAAATTAAATTAATCTCCATTTAATCATTTATCGATCTAATAAGTTGTACAAAGCTATCAGTGTGTAAGTGTTTTTTTGGCAACTCTGTTACTTGATAGTTCGATACAGCCACAAATACGGTTCACTCATATCGGAAGAGACCCTTGCCAATTTGAACAAAAATTTTTGCACTCCGCAATAGTCTCACAATCGTATGGGCCAAGTGAAATATTTGTAGGTGGTTGTGATGGCATTGCACTTGTTAAAATTATAACAAATATAAAACCGGTGTCGTAAAAAGAATCTATAGATGGGTGTGAAATTTCAAAAAGACTTTTCAAATCTATTTTTTGGAAAATATTATTTTATATATGATTTTATACTGATTATTTAAATAATATTACTTAGTATAAGAATTTAACAGTAATACACATGCTAGCTTTTGTTTTTGCTCTGCCACCGGAAACTGTGATGTCAAGATAGAAACATAAGTATTAGTTTCCATATTTACATAATAAACATTGAAATCAGTTTTCTTTGGAATATACTAATTCTGGACATCTTAAATCAATAACCGGTGATATACGATGTGGTTAATTTATTGTTTAAATTTAAAAAAAAAATGATTAAAAAATCGATAACATTTACCAAAGATGAATAATAAAAGAATAATTGCTCATATTATCTTTTTTTGTTGATAGTGGTTTCTCCCACTCTGATCGACTCCGCAACATCATTATCCTCCATTATGTTGATCCTCTACTCCTCCTTCATATTATCTCTATCTGGCTTAAACCACTAGACTGCAGAACTTCAAAATCATTTCTCTTTCTTGTGCCATGTCGAACACTCAACCCAGGAATTCAATTTCCGATCATAAACTACACCATGCTCTTTCTGTGCCAAAACCTTCAACAGCGAAACACACAATAACGCCATGTAAATGTTAAATCCAATACACAATAGCTCAAAGAAAATGAACAAATAAAGTGGAACGAAAACTCACCATGATGAAAATAAAATGATCAGAAGCAGAAATAAAGTTGAGAAAAAGCAAAAGAGCATGTTTCAGATAATCCTTATCTCCATCAACAGCCTTTTCGATAATCCGCTCGGTGTTAAGCAGCATGCACCTAACAAACATTAACACCCCAAAACACAGCTAAAAAGAAAACTAAACACTAATCAATTTAAAGGGATTTAGCTACAAAAAAAATAAAAATAAAACAGGTATTAACTTTTTACCTCAACTTGGAAGAGGGCTACACCATCAGTATCACTACCCACCTCCGCTCCCCCTTGACCTTCCACCACATCTTCACCTTCAGGATTCAACCCCATGTCCCCTTCATCCTAATCATTAAATAAAAGCATCAGTTGTTGGAAATCAGGACCTCAATCACTCTTTGAACACAAATCAGGCCCTCAATCACTCTTTGAACACCGATCAAAACAGCAATTGTTTATATTACTTTCAAGAAAACTAATTACCCTCTTTAATACATATACTAGTGCTACCTATTTATAATAAACACAACAATAAAAACACATTCTCATAATCATCCCAAGTATTCCTTCTAAGTAGCAACAAACTCCACCCTTCACTTTCAAGTCCAACAAATTCGGTCAACTCTAGACCAAGTCATTAACATGCAGAATATTGATAACCCATGCACATGACCCGTACCCAACTTGACCCGTACTCTATCCGAACCATCAAGATTAACCCAACATCAGTAAGATAAAAGAGCACTTCCTCACTTCTTACCTTTCAGATTATTCAATATATCTTATAAGATATATTTCACATGCAACCATAAGCATGCTACACGTGTGCAGAAACCAACAAAAAGTATTTTTTTTTACTATATTAAAAATAAGCACATCATGTACTACTTTTAAATTTTTTGTATGGCTATATTATTAAAACTACCATGACTTGATAGCAATTTCTTGAAAGTAGAATGCTATAACACATGAACAAATAGAAGTACGTTGCTACTTTTTGAATCTTTGGACCAATAAAATTATAAAGTGATATTTAGAAAATATATTTTCTACTATTTCTATATTTTCTGTTGAAAAGAAGTAAAAAGTGATAATGACAAAATATCTTCTTTCATTTATATAAAATATAAAAGCTATTTGTTGGACCGATTAGTCAAAGTTAAAAAATAAAAACCAAGAACTAGCTAGAACATAAATTAGCATCAAAGCAGTACAACGTAAAAGGAAAAAAATAAACTTTCATAACATTGAATTGATCAAACCACCAGGAAGAAAATCACCTGTTCCTCTAGCGAGCCACAGGTAACAATTGAATGGCTTCTAACTCATTGAAAACCTCTAGCATTCTAGGTCTATTGTTTATACTAAAATCAAGGCATTGGTTTGCCAACTTTGATATGGCTTCTAACTCATCTATAGAACCCTCGTTGCCAATCTGCATCGAACATATCCATGGCGCGATCTTCATTCATGGCCAACATAAATTCTGCATCTAAACTTCTAGATTAACTATCAGGTATAGTCATAACTGCCTTCTTTCTTGTCAATATTTCCACTAAAACCACTGCAAAACTATACACATCACTTTTTTCTGTGAAGCGGCCAGTTTGGCAGTAGTGTGGATCCATGTAACCAACCGTCCCTTTCACCTGGGTAGTCAAGTGGGTTTGATAGGTTGTCAGAAACCTTGAAATTCCAAAATCTGTTACTTTGGCTCTATAGTTTTCATCTAAAAGTATGTTGGCTGACTTCATATCCATATGATATATAGGGGTGGAGGTTGCTCCATGAATGAGGTCACTCAAACTACCATTTGAGATGAATTCAAAGACGAGTAGTGGGACCTCCGTCTCTAAGCAACATCCAAGTAGTGTGACCACATTTCTATGGTTCACTTGTGTAAGGATTGCCATCTCATTGATGAATTCTCTTACATGGCGCAGATCAACAACTTGGGACTTTTTGATGGCTACAGTCCTCCCATTGGTTAACATTCCTTTATATACAATACCTTGGGCCCCTTCACTAATAACTCTATCCACATTGAAATTGTTTGTGGCCTTCTCTAATTCCTCTTCAGTGAAAAGAATGGTTCTGTGGCCAGCTATACCGGTATTTCTTTCTTGTTGTTGGAGGAGCAATCCTCCATTGCGTTAAAAACACTTCTTTTTCTTTCTTTTGATTTTACTTTTCTTCACTAATTTGAATGAAGCATGACCAATCGCCGTGAGAAGAAGTAACCCCAAGTTTATGCTCAAACCTGAAAGGAAGGAGGTGTTGGAAATCAGGCCTTTATATTCACTTCACTGCAGCAACAGAATAAGAAGAAGGAGAGTTGTTTATGGACTCAAAACAGCTGCTTTAATATTCAGAAAACTAAAGGCTTTTTATAGCCTACAAAACCTAAATGAACTAACCAAAAACAAGCACACGTTTCCTCTTTTCCAGCACTAAACCTATCATTCTAAAAGCCCCAAAAGACTTGGTCCACATGACCCATTCAACCCATGAACTACTATCTTTTATTCAATTACTAAATAAAACTAAAAATAACATCTTATGTCAAGATTAAACCCAACATTCACCCCCTTAATCTTGACAATCTTGATATTTGCTTCTCTTGCTATAATCTTGCTTGCAATCGGCCTTCTCCTGCTTGTTAATCACTTGCTGCTTGCTTCTTCTTTCTTACCTGCTAACAAACAACAAACTTGCTGCATCTTTCTTCTGATTAACAAACATGATCTGCCTTGCTGCTTATCTTTCATTCTTGCTTTCTTTCTTGTCTGCTACTTGATACAGACTACTTTCTTTTCTTGCTTCTTGCTTTCTAACATAGAACATACTTAGGCTCCGTCTTGCTTTTCTTGCTTGCTTTCTTTCTTGCTCTCTTGGTCTTCTCTTGCTGAGAACCCTTCTGCTTACTTCATCGTGTTGCTTGCTTTCTTCCTCAACAGCCATTTTTTGCTATCTCTGGGATCGAACAACCACAACCGGACTTTCATCTGTCAACACCATTATGAGCCATTAACACCACATCAGAAACCGGAATACACCACAGCCGAGAACCACCCTCATTTGATCCTTTTTCTGTATTTCTTTCTTTCTGCAGAAAGCAACAGCCAACAGGTTGCATGTCACAATCTTCTTTCTTTCTTTCTTTCTTTCTTTCTATCTTCTTTCTTTCTTTCTTTCTTTCTTTCTTCTTTCTGGCGGTCTTGACTGCAGCAGCAATATATTGGTTCAGCCCCTGCAACCATCATCTTCTTTCATTCTGAGCCCTGCAGCCAAGGGCTGCTCCTCCTCTCTCGCCACCGACTCTCAAACCTGATTCTTCTAAACGAGCCCTAGGCTCTGATACCAAATGTTGGAAATCAGGCCTTTATATTCACTTCACTGCAGCAACAGAATAAGAAGAAGGAGAGTTGTTTATGACTCAAAACAGCTGCTTTAATATTCAGAAAACTAAAGGCTTTTTATAGCCTACAAAAACCTAAATGAACTAACCAAAAACAAGCACACGTTTTCCTCTTTTCCAGCACTAAACCTATCATTCTAAAAGCCCCAAAAGACTTGGTCCACATGACCCATTCAACCCATGAACTACTATCTTTTATTCAATTACTAAATAAAACTAAAAATAACATCTTATGTGAAGATTAAACCCAACAGGAGGCAAATATAAAAACTACACATTTTCACAAATAATCATAATAATTCATTGGTTGTTAATTTTACTTTAGGTGCAATGGAAGAGACTAAGACCATGTTTATCAATAAGACCCAATCTTATATTAAAATAATAGCTTTTTACTTGTCCACCTATACAACTGTAAGGTAAAAAACCTTGAATGATGCCTAAAAAAAAACGAGCAACAGGGGACAGAACTAGGAAAATAAGAACAAAATAAAGACAACTTAATTTTCACTACTACAAAGTGGCAAATAGAATACTCTTAATAGAATACGGTTGTATAAGAATCCGTATCATATTAGAGATAGAGTATTGTTCACAAAAAACAACCCGTACAAAATCAAATAGAATACTGTTTTCATAATCAACATGACTTTATTTACATATATAATAGTATGTATGTGTATTTTAAAACAAAAAACCACCATTGAAAAACAAGAAAATACTACATTCTTCCTCACAACTTGTGATGTATCCACTGCGCTAAAAAACTGGTTTTTGTTAGTTTTTTCAATGAAAATTGATAAAGAGACGACTGAAGAAAAAACTAAACCATATTTTCACCAATATACCTATTCTGCCCTCATGGTCTCTAACGCATCCCTAAAAAAACAAGCATATTTTCACGTTGTTGTTTGATCCAAACACCTAAACATCTTTAATTTTTTTTGTTTCCTCAATACAAAAAGTAACAATCTTTATGTATACAAACCATTCAAAGTTAACACAAAAGTTAAAATCAAATTTAATACAAACTAGTCAATGTATTAAGAAAATGAAATCATGCAATAAAGATGGACAATAGCCTTAACCCTTAACCACTGTAAGATGGATCAATTGATGATCTAGCAACTTGTAATTGTGCCTCTAAATCCTCCAAGATCTTTATAGAAAAGTGTAATTATTGTATTTAATTTATGAAATATATTTATTTAGATTGTCCTTTGGCAATAAGAAACTATACTTTAGGATATTTTATAAGAAGTACGGTTACATTGAAAAAACAATATTCAATGTGTTTCGTTAAAGAATAAGGCTACTTTTAAAAAACCCTAAAACCGTATTTTATAATGATTATAGAGTATTGGTTTTGCAACAGTACTGCATTATAAAAAAAACCGTACTTTATGATGATTATAGAGTACGGTTTTGCAACCGTATTGTATTATCTAGAAAACCGTACTATATGATGATTATAGAGTACGGTTTTACAACCGTATTGTATTACATGTTCGAATAGGAAACCCCCTTATAGAGTACGGCTGCAAAACCGTATTCTATATGTCATTTTAACAGTATTCTATGTGTTATTTTGTAGCAGTGTTTATTGCTTAGAATGCAAGGATTATTTGCTGGAAAACTTAATTAAATTAACATAAAGATAAGTGTTATTGATAGAATTCCCCGTAACGCTCTCTCATTCAATAAAACAATATATATATATATATATATATATATATATATATATATATATATATATATATATATATATATATATATATATATATATATATATAGAGAGAGAGAGAGAGAGAGAGAAAGAGAGAGCTAGGTTCAAATGTGGATGAACATCTATTGTGTGGGCGTGTGGACAATGCTATTCTGTGAGAATGACAAAGAAAATATGTTGTTTAATAATATGAATATGTTCCATCTTACATAACTATTGTCATTATCACACATTCTCACTAATTAAATCGCATATAAGGTTATTATAGACTCATTATTATTATTCTCATTATGTCAGAATGTTGTCGGAATGTTTATTGAGTCGTATTCTGTCAGAATGATAATGAGTGAAAAATGATTTGTGAGAACAAAAATGAATAAGAATTAGTGAGAATGCATGAAAGTGACGATATTTTCGTAAGATTGAACGTATTCGCATTACTAAACAATGTATTCTCTTAGTAATTCTCATAGAATCGCACTGTCCACACGTCCACACAATAATTGTCCATCCACATTATAACCTAGCCCTATATATATATATATATATATATATATATATATATATATATATATATATATATATATATACACAAAGAGTACATAGGTATAGAAAATGGGCCACAGCACACAAGGGCTGGCCAAAAGAATGAAGGATAAATAAACTAATAAGGCTACGTTAACAACCCCCCGCAGTTTGAACGGGGAGAAAAATCATGAACGTTCAAACTGGACCGGAAATCAAGAAACAATGGTGACGGAAGACTCTTCGTAAAAATATCTGCATACTGAGAGGAATATGGAACATGAAGAACACGAACATGTCCGGTGGCAACTTTGTCTCGAACAAAGTGCAAATCAATTTCAATATGCTTCGTACGTTGATGTTGAACCAGGTTGGATGACATATAAACAACGCTAACATTATCACAGTAGATAATGGTAGCCTTGTCCGACACATAGTGAAGTTCAATAAGAAGATTACGAAGCCAACAAGTTTCCGCCACAACATTAGCAACACCCCGATATTCAGCTTTGACACTGGACCGCGAAGTCGTGTTCTGACGTTTGAATGACCAGGAGAGAATATTGTGTCCTAAAAAGACACAATAACCCGATGTAGATCGACGCATGAAAGGACATCCACCCCCAGTCAGCGTCAGAATAGGCAATGAGCGTGCGACTGGGAGAGGTAAATAACCGAAGACCATGATATTTTGTACCTCTAATATAGCGCATGATGCGCTTGAGAGCAGTAAAATGAGGTTCCCTCGGGTCATGCATGTATAAACAAATCTGTTGAACCGCATAAGTGATATCAGGTCGAGTGAATGTCAAATATTGTTACGTGCCTTCCAAACATCGATATAAGGTAGGATCAGCAACAGGAGTACCAGTGCCATCAAGCTTAGCTGATAAGTCAGCCGGAATAGATGCATATTTACAGTTGGTCATGGAAGCCCTGTCAAGAATCTCAATAGCATATTGTTGTTGAGATAAAAACAACCCATCAGCCGAGCGAGAGGTCGAGATGCCCAAAAAATAGTGAAGATCCCCAAGGTCTGTCATAGAAAACTCAATGCTCAATAGAGAAGTGATGCGAGACAGAAGCTGAGTCGATGAGCCTGTTAGGACAATATCATCCACATATAGTAACAGATATGCCACGTGAGTACCATGTCGATAAATGAATAAAGAGGAGTCACATCTGCTGTGAACAAAACCAATGCAAGAAATAAAGGTGGCAAACTGTTGAAACCAAACATGAGGTGCTTGCTTGATACCATATAAGGACCGCTGAAGCAGAAAAACATAGTCAGGACGAGAGGGATCACGAAAAACCGGAGGCTG